TAAATATAGAAATATAGTGACAAAAACTCTACTGATAAAAAATCGAGCTCATTACTTCTCACGGATTTATTAGAGATCATATCCGAAATTATACAACCCCTAGAAAATGATGACCATTTAAACATGGGTGCAAGTCCTTCTCAAAATGATAACCCGAGTAATAAATATGATAAGCTAGCTGACAATGCACACACAAAGAACCCGAATATTTTGAGAAAAGCTCTGATCATTTTAAAAGAAACCCTTGAAATATATGTAGAGTCTCAAGGAATCAACACCATGAATAACCATTTACGACTGCATAATGAAAGAAATGAAATCGAATTCGAAAGGGATAAATTTGGTCATCTTAAACAAAATAGATTTGAATTACAGCTTCTAAAACCACTTTACCAGGAGTTGATTGTGCCAGGAATCAGTTGGAATAGTGGAGGTACCCTTTTTCTCTCTAAATTTTGTAATTTATTTAAATTAGATATATAAATTAAATATCAAAAGCAAAACTTTACGAAATTTATTTTTCTTATTTACTCACACATAACCAAGGAGCTATCAATTTTTTAAGTCAAATAAATAAAAGATTCTTGATTCATCAGGCAGTACTTACAAATTTAAGACTAATTTTCTAATGTATTTATATTTTATTTAAGAGTAAGATTTGTCTAGGAACTAACTAGAATAATGATTTAGCGGAATTAAGGCTCTTTAATTCTAAATCAAAATTCTTATAAATGCATCATATATATTTTAAATGCTCAAAAAATTCATACAAATTGTAAAATGAACCAAACTTCTATTTAGTTTTGAAATAAAATATATGATTATAAAATATTATTGTTAACAACATTCTCAAATTTTTTTATCATCTAATTAACTCTTTTTTATTGCTACACTAAAAAAAATCTTTCAATTGGTAAGCTGGAAGATAAAGTAGTGTTATACTTTATGAATAATACATATTAGAATTATCCTTAGATATGGTAAAATCGCACTCACTTTTTTAAGCAATCTTTGATGGATGTTAATATTTATATCAATACTTTTGAAGGGAATTGAAAACATATAATATTAAATCTTTCGATTTTTTTCTTGCTTCCCTTTAGTAATATTTGTAAACTTTGAAAGTTCGTCGGCTAATCGTTATGTCAACTCTTTTTTCTTTCTTTAAATTTTGTGACATTTGAAGCCAATTTTATTCAAGTTTGAAAAAAAAAATTCCTGATGCATCACTCATATTAATTGTAACCATATTTCCATCATTGGAATATAGGCTCGGACAGATATTTAATAAATATATTACAAAAAAATAGGATTAAAATTGAATATTTTCAATATATATAGCTTAAACTTAATTAGATAGTAGAGGTTAGTATCACTGTAGGGCACGCCGCTATTGTTAATAAATTATGAACATTGATTGAGTTGACAGACCTTTTTTTAAAAAAAAATCACTGGGGGCGTTTAGAAGTTTAGCTTGAATCACAGTAAATTTTAAAAAGTAATATCTTTATAAACTTAACCTCTAACACATTTTACCCAAGAATTCAAAAATTTTCACAAATTTATCAAAAAATTGAATATACTATTATTTTTTCAAAATTTCGAACATTTTATTATTTATAAAAATAATCCATGATTTTTTTGGGAGTGATAAAAATTTTGCCTTTCGAAGTTATCGGGCTAGAAAATAATTAAATGTCAAATGATAGTTGAGCTTGAATTTTTTTATAGCGTAAGCTGGGTGGGTCGGTAATTAAACATTAGCCCGCGCCCACCTCTACTATATGTTATATGCAGCATTTTTATATTTAACTATATATTCAAATTTTTTTATCAATTCATTTATTTTCTGGCGACAAGAATCCAACAAGCGGGTATCATATAGAGATTCATTTTCTCCCAATTTGAGAGGAATAGCTTTTGAATGTCTTGGTCTTTTCTGCATATCGGACCTTGATTTAGCTTTTCAAAATTATCGGCTTTTTATCGAGGTTAATAAAATTTAATTCAATAATTTTTGTGAAGAATTAATGTGGAAATTTTTTAAGTATAAAAAATAAGAAAAAGAATGCCTGACATACTATATAATAATTTACTTAAACTGAGCGCTTATAAAAATGTCATTGACTGCACGCATCGCAACTAGCCAATTACGACTAACTCAAATATATTACGCAAGCCTGAAGATTTTGCTCATAGTTGGCACAAAGGTTTGGACATCTATTAACGAAATCTCGAGGCTTATGAAATATTATTTTCTGGTTAATATATTGCTCAAATTGAGTGTCATTTAATAACACCAATTGCATCGATTTTATGTAAATCGGTAATTTAATGTCAAACTCACGATGTATCGATATTTTTTTCGGATCCGATCAGGCCGATATTTTTAGGTTTTTAAAATATCGGTTATCGGCCGATATTATAAAATTTTCCTATCCGAAAAAATGGCATCTTAATTTTTAAAATTTGTAGATAGTTTTATACTATAAAAATATGATGTTATAAAAAAAAATTTAAAAGTTTTATTTTTTTATATCAGACTGCGTCCAAAATCTTAAAAATATAAAAAAATAACATAAGCTATTTTTAATGTAAAAATAAAATGGTGTTCAATTTCATTATTCGGTATTTATTCCAATTTTTTTTTTAAAAAATAAAAATTTATTCGAAATTTTTATAGAAAATTAGTAAGTACAATTTTTAAAGCTGTTAATTTTTATAAATTTACTAACCCAAACGATTATAGCCTTTTATATTAAAATATTTTTTAGTGTCAAAATATAATTTTATGGAAAGCATAAGAGTGCACAAGAACTGGTGCAAAAATGACTTAAAATTCAGAGATTCTATAGAAAATAGGAAAATTTGAGAGGAAATTGGAAAAACATATAACATGAATTATGATCACTATGTTCAGTCATAATCTTCAAATATTATATAATAAATAACTAATAATTGAATCATATCAAGCATTTTAGTTATTTTAATTTTTATTTTTTTAAAACTTAAATGTGTCCAAAGTGTTTTGTTATCAATTTGCGAAAATTTTATAATTTTAAGGATTTTTTAAAAACATTTTGGACGCAGTCTAAATTAAATCGAAATCCATTTTTATGTTTATTTTTTTTATTAATGGGTAATAAATAATTAATACTATATTGTTTTTTTTGCGTATTCTCTTTATGAAAGTGTGCCATAATTTTAACATTATCTTTTGTTTTATTTTTATAACATTACATAAAATTTTCGTGTTTTAAATAAATAAAATATTTTTTAATGGCTTACTGTACGCTATAATAGATTTTTTAAAATTGGATTTAGCCAATGGCGCTAATATCAAATATATATCATTTTTTAAGGGTAATTAAATTATAAATAGTTTTAGGCAAAGATCAACACGACCTTAAAACTTGGACTGGGCAACTTGCGCAAAATATTTTTTCAGGCTGGGCAATTTGTTTGTGCAAAATTTATCATCAAGTTGGCACTGATTATTTTAAAAACCTTAAATAATGCAAATTTTTCATAAAAAAATATTTATGGGAGGGGCTGAAAAATCTAATGGTCTGGGCTTTGCTAATTTTTAGTTTTCGGGCTACTATGCAAGTGGCTGTTTATGAAATGTAATGTTGTCTAAAAAATGATTTAAGAAAAATTAGTATGGATAATTTTTATTATATTATTATACAGTAAATATATTTATATTATTCATGATACATGGTTTCTCATTCAAAAAAAGAAATAGTCCAAGCAAATTTTTTTGATTTGGATTTTTACCTCACTTGAATGGAAAACCTTGTAACACACATTAAGTTATACGATTACCAAATAATTTTTAAATAAGGCGTTAAAAATGGATGACGACACCAACGTGAAGATAATTGCTGCCACGTATATTTTTGACATAGCTGTCCTCTATCCTGGTCTAGTAAGATCGCATAAATTATCGACACCTGCTCTAGCCTTGGAGAATAATTTTAACCCTATAGGTTTGGTAATCGATAATATAAAACATAATGGTTTCCCAACTTTTCTTTTTATTGTTCTTAAAAAAAATAAGAAATCCACTACGAGGAATTCTATTTTTATTATGAAACAAACTTTATATTACCACAAATAAAATTTATTAATTAGCATAGAAAATATCCCGGGCCCGACCTGGATCTTATTTATTTGGATCCGGGCAATAATAGTCAGTTATACCATTTTTAAAAATATATATAAGTATAACGTATTTATTTAAAAAAAATGAGTTAAATATATTTATATCAAATAAAATTTACTTGTAGCATTGCATTTATTTTAAGCGCGATTCGCTCAAGCGATGCTAAATTTTTCCCTATATTTTTCCCTATTAGACATTCATAAGACAGATGGCAAATGCAACTCAATTCTGGGAGCCCCTCTAGACTTTTATCTAGATATATTAGAGGTAAATATTATGGAAAATGATCCATATATTTATTATTTTTTTAAAAAATAAGTAAATATTAGAATCGTTATTGAAAAATATGTGAAAATAAATTTAAAAATAACAGAATTCCACTGAATCAGATGATTGTAACTAGAGGTCTGCAATGGGCGGGTTTTTAGCCAAAAAGTTCGCTCACTCGTTGTTTGGGATTTTTTTAACGCTCGCCCACTCACTTATAATTTTTGCCCGCCCATTTTTCTATAAATTTTGTTTAACCCGCACGTTTTATGTTTAAAAATTAGTTTAAGTGTTTGAAGTGGTCCGGTCCAGTTCGATCTCATCTGACTATTGGGTGTGACGGGGCAGTCCGGTCTGACAACACTGTTTTATATATCAGTCTTACCGAAGACCGATTAAAAAGATAATAGTTTACTATAAATTGCTTTTTAAATAATGTACATAAACATGAACACATAAAACATGATTATTTAATGCCTAACACTTTATAATATCTCATTCATCGTTTATTCTTCCGTTTCATTCATTCGTCAAATAATTTAATTTGTATTATATTTTTAGAAATTGAAATCATAGAAGATGATAATATTATTGAATCACCCTTTCTTCTGTGAGTGAAAGAATAACATTTAGAAAATAGTATTAATAGTGGAAATGAAAATAATTCGATCAAATTCAAATTTGAAAGATGTTAAATTATATAAATTTTTTAGAAAAGATAATTCTGGGAAAACATGTAAAATATATCTCCAGATATTTCCCAATTCTTCAAGCACAAGTAAATTATGTATATATATATCAAATTGAAAGCTCAAAAAAATATATGAATAAAAATTTCATCAAATAAACCTACTTATAGTTATCTGGGAACCAATATTAAAAACCCAAGATTAACGAAATATTGTATTGATATTGGGTCTAAAATAGTGGTATTGGTTTAAATAATAATTTCTTATATTGGTATTTGTTTAAGTTCAAATTATTAATTAAAAGAATAGAAATAGTAATTTAAAAAACACGGTTTTAAATAATCATTATCATAAAAACAAGACTGAACCAACTCTCTAAATTTTACTGAATCAATTCTAGCCAAAATAGTAATGAACAATCTCCCACAGCAGGCTGCATCAGTAGCATATGAACTGATCTTTTCTAAAGCTAGTGATAAAATAACAAAAAAGCGAAGTAGAATGAATCCAAAGATGGTTCAATATCTAATGACACTTGAAACATGGATAAAAAATGGAATAATTTTTGATTTTTTAGAAGATAATTAGAATATTTATATATATAAATCCGTTGATAACCAAATATCTATTACATTATATATATCAAAAGCAAAAATTAATTAAATATTCAAATCTAATTCAATAAATTTGTAATATTAGGCATTTGTGTTGTATAATATAATAAAAATGATTTGATGATATAATTAAAATTAACACATTTCATTTTAATAAATTTAATGTATAATAAAGCCGTTATAGCTTAAGAAAAGCATTTTTTAGAAGGGACCGGACTGGATCGACGATCCCACGGTCTCGTCTCACTTGAATTAACGGTCCATCAGCTCAGTCTCATTTTTGAAAAAGAGGATCGAACCGGGTGGAGCCGGACCGTTGTAAACGCTAGTTTAAAGCTGGTTTGGCTCATGTTGAAAATATTTTCGAATACCTGACTACGCCCGTCCAAAATATTAACGGGCCTATGTGGGCGGACTAAAAATCCGCCCAATGCAGACCTGTAACCACTTTTATCTTGTTTTGATTAACTAATCATTTTTTGTTGTTCGGACAATTTTTAAATTAAAATTTTATTTATGTAATAATGCTTTCAACGACTATTTAAAAATATAATGTTTAGGACACCACGGGGGACAATTTGCATCAAATTTTAAGCTATCAAATCATCAAAGGTTTTTGCAAACTTTTCCTGTTTAAGAGAACTGCCGATTTCTCCTTATTAAAAATTTTGATCTTACTTAGTTCTAATACCATTGATAATGAAGACACAACACGCAAGACAGTTAAGAACCAGAGCCTTTTGATACAAAAATTTTTAGAGATATTTTCTTATAATACCAAGTATATTCTTTATATTTCTTGAAATATTTTCTTATAATACCAAGTATATTCTTTATATTTCTTGAAATATTTTCTTATAATACCAAGTATATTCTTTATATTTTTTGAAATATATAACCCATTGTATATTTTTTAAAAAAATTAAGTTTGGGATTTTGAAATTAATATGCTACTTAGAAGCCTTTTTTAAAAAAAGGAGGTTTTGCTCAGATACAACATTTAAGCACGCTAAAATTAAAAGTGTTTAGTCCTTCCCTGTGACACTACCAAAGCTTTTAATACATTTCACTATCACCGTATCGAAGTGAATCGTCTTTGGATGGTCGCATTATTCTGATATATTCTGATAAAATATATGATATATTTGGCAGGTTAAATCAACTTTTTGTGACGGCGGTATGTTGCGATATTTTAAAGGACCTTGTATTCCTTGACATACCAACTCAAATATCCAAGACTCCGAATGTAATGGGTAATAATGATGAAGATGGAAATCTTAATGATCCCGAGAATAATATGGAGGTGAATATCCTTTCAAAATATTGTAATGAAAAGGAATTAGACAAAATTAGTGTATACTCTATTCAAATTTTGCGCTTGGTGAATATCGAAAATTTACTGAAGTTTATATCCGATATATGCAATCCTGATAAATTAAAGCCCGAAACAGAATCTGTACACCATTCTTCTCCCGTCATAATAAACACTCAAGTTTTATATATTATAAACAAACTTAAATTATAGTTTTTTTGGTGTAAAAATGTAACACTGGCTAATAAATATTTTAATATATATTACGTTTAATTATCATTACGGAATTAAAATGGAAATATATTTATAAAGGATTTGATTATTTTCTAAAATGAATGATAGCAGTATTTAGACAAAGAAATTATGTTTCAGGTAACAAAAAGAATAATTTCTTCTATTTTTCTTAATAATCAAAGCTTTCTCCCCACGGGTATTTAGCAGAAACCCTGAGCCAACATATGATTCACCTGAACCAGCTTATATTGGATACCGATTACCCCGAGGTGATGGGTGCCAATGCTATAGATGAATATGTTGAGAAATTATCTACGAATCATATCGATAATGATGAATCCCTAAATAATGTAGATTCAACTTTAACCGAGTCTAAAACACACAATGCCACTTTAACCGATGCACTAAGTACCACTTTAACTGAAATCCGAAGTGCCAAAAAGTCTAAAAACGTGCTCGAAGATTACCTTGATAAAATTACTCTAAGATCCCTCGCTAAATTTTTGAGTAACTTAAACTTGAGCCGGGATGCATTTAATTGCCTCATCAAAATTAAAGATGCTTGGGAAAACTTAGATATAGTAATAAATGAAATGTTATTTGTAAAAATAATTTGTCTGTTTTATTAGGAACATTTTAACGACAAACAAGCAAAGAAATGGATTTTAAAGTTTGTGACCAGTTTTAATTAAAGTCTAATCAATAAATAAATCAAACCTTATTCCCCCCCCCACCCCCCACACACACATGAACGAAACATTTATTATTAGAGAGGAAAAAAACTATTTATTAAATTATTTGTAAACATTGTTAATATTTAGTAATTACTTAATACATATACAAATTAGAAATCTAATATGATATTATTCGCTGAATATAAATAATGTATTATTTGATATTTAGAAGAAATAATAAAACGAGAATACAAAAGACGTTATTATATTACTCCGACTTTTTATCTCACTCAAAGTTTCGCTTAATATTTAAAAAATCCAACTTTAAATCTAGTATCTTTTATTATGATTTTTTCAGTAATCAAAAAAAAATAATGCTTCGCATAAGGAAAATACAACAAATTTTATCCAATAGTTTTAAGAATTTAATAATGATGAAAAAATCTACATCTTTTTTAAAAAATATATTTTCCCATATCATATAATCTATTTATTATTATTATCTAATTCCCATATTGTTGGTTGACGGTTGCCTTATAATTATCTATTAAAAATTATGCAAGGCTACGACAGTTATGAGTTTCAATTTAAATTTAATGTTTGTTAGTGTCTATTTATTATAGAACAATTTTATTTCTATTTTGTAACAGTTTATATATTTTTATTAGGGTTGTGGATCCGAATTCGGCTTCAGAAATTTAAAATTGTTTGGTTGGGCATTTTGATACCACAGACCAAACATAGACCGATTTATGGGCAATTCATTGAGCCCGTGGTAATATGGACCCGAGTGGGTTCACACTTCTTTTAGAAAATCTATTTTTGATTATGTTCCTGTTATCAAAATTTCCGCATGGAGTTTAAAATTCTTGAACCCGAATTCGGGTCTACGATCTTGATTTTTTATACATTGTATTACCACTCATGCGATTTGTTCTGCGTTTTTCGACTTTGTGGTTAACCTCTTTCATTTCTTTATGCACATTGTATTTATGAGGTCGTATATTATATTTTATAACATCTTTTGTCATTTTTTTCAAACATGATTGAGTATCTCTGTGGTAAACCAATCTTACCCAACCTTTTCTTCTTTTTAAATATGTGCGGGGAAAGTGTATATATTTTTTTTCAACTTTAAATCGTTTATTGAGCAAGTTAATTAAATTGGATTTTTTTTAATAACCGGAAATGTATTCCAGCATGTTTCGAATACCATCCGATGATTTCAGCCATTTTGCCTCGAGGAATCTGTAGGAGGGCTTTTATTCGTCGAATTTAATTTGAATTCGACGATTAACAATAAAACAAAGGCGATAATGTTTCTAAACTCATGTTATCTCTTATCTTTATACCGTTTCGAAACAAAATATTTTTCAAAGCGTTTTCCAAGGCTCGTTTTTGCAAAATTTTTTACATGCAAACAACAAACGATTTTTATTATACAGCTAATTTTTTATATTACAAAATTTCTCTATAGCTAATATTATTTACTTGAGATATACAAATATAAAGTACTTACAGTACCAAATTATTTTCAAACTATACAAGCAGAATAAGAAACTGAATATTTAGAGAGATAAGTTATCTAAGTGAAAGATGAGACATAATTCCTAAATAGATTACTTTTATTTAAATAATATACACCAGATAACTTTAATGTAATATAATGACATAAAAAATGTTGACAATGAATATCTTAAATTTATAACATATTTTACAGTATTTAATTAAGAGATGCACTTAAGAAAAAAATAAGGGATAAATATACTCTATTGATATTTTTATAATTGTTAAAGAATTAAAATTATATTAAATGGCATTCCACATAACTAATAAATCATTTGGAAGGTCTTATTTATAATTATGTAATTGTTTATAATATTTCATTAAATATTTGTATAAAATTTCTATTATTATAATGGCTAAAATTTATTTCATAATATAATATTTAAAAAAACAACTTGTTCACTTCACTATAAAACGCCATTTAATCGTTAAAAAATATCAAATTAAGTGATATTTTACAAAAATGCAAAATCGTTTCCATTAAAACAACGATGTATGGAAATGGTTTTACTATATGTTTTGTCAGGCTTGGCTTTGCCATGATTGGTTTTATCAGGATTGGTCTTGTTAGGCTTACAAAATTACTGCTAGACAACGGGACAAAACGAAGCATAACCGAATGAAAGCAAAATAAAACCCCCCGAAATAAGAAGTCAAACATAACGCTGCGAAACAAAACGAAGCGAAAGAAAACGCAAAACAAAACGAATGTAACAGAGCAGAGTAACATAAACACTGCGAAACAAAATAAATCTAAACAAAACGAAGCAAAACAAAAATAATAGATGCGAGACAACAAATTTAATTAAATACTATAACTATAAAGCTACAAATGAAAACAAAAATTGTAATGTATCAAAAATATTTAAATTTAAAATATATAAATATTGTTACCTTAAAAAAGTAAAGCAAATAATTCTTTTCCGTCTCATCGATTATTACGCCTCAGAGTCTGTTACTTTCACATTACTAGTATCCGCATACACCTAAAAATTTATGTTTCACAAAATTCTTTTCAATTCTTTATAAGAAGTAAATTATGTAAGCCAATTCATGTTTAAAATTGATAATTTATTGTTAAAAAATTCCTATATTTTTCAACAATCAGACATCTAGAAGACAATGTAATTTATAGAAACAATGTTTATCAGATTATAATACAATAAAATCTTTTTATACCTAATCATAGAGTTTCAAGCATATAAAAATTTCATTATATTAAGTTCAGGTTTAAATACGGATTAAATCCTGTACTCTCTTAGATTTAAGGTGGGTTTTATTAAAACTAGTTTGTTGGGTTTAGAAATTTCAATTATATTATTATATGTTAAAAAATCTTACCATTTTACATTCAACAAATAGTTTACAATTTATTTCAAAGTGATCTATATTTCTTAAGAGATGTTATAAGTCAGGTGAATAAAAAATTTCTTTGATATCGAAACACAATTTCATGTTTTAAAAATCCGATATAACAAAAATGGAAATTTCTTACCATTTTTAATTCTAGATATTTTACATTTTAATAGGTTATTTTTATAAGACAATCCTGAAATTCGGTTATTATAGTATTTGTGCTAGCCGATTATGGTTAAGGTTTAAAGTATAGCAAAAGGAATATTATATTTTAATTTAATTTTTAGGAACAGGATAGATTATTATTTATCATAGTTGGATAGTGATTATCACTTATATAGATAGGTCAATTTTAGATGAGTATGCTACTCTGGAAAGCTTTTACTCTGAGTTTATACTGGAATTATTATTGTCATCCATAATCTTTCATTTATGTAATTACTAGTGATGTTAAGGTAACTAGTTACCTGTAACTAGTTATAATTTTTGAAATATAACTGCCAAAAGTAACTAGTTACTTTTAAAGATATATTCAAATAATTAATTATGTTGTGATAAATTAATTTTAAATTAAATTTATTTTTTAAATTAAATTTAAAATTTTGTGAAAATGTCTGATTGTTATAATTTCCCGTTCAAATTTACCTTAATACCTCAAAGTGAATCCCAGACGAATGAATCATGCTCAAAGCCAACATCACTTGATGTAGTTGGATTTTTTGACCTAGCGCCAATTTATTCTGGATAATGAACTTATAGAAAACTTTATCAAATCTAATAACAACACTTTTTCTTTATATAACGATTTTTCAAAGTTAAAATTACTCTTTATTAAATATAACGTTGTTCTAACATCAAGTGCTCCCGTAGAGCGCTTGTTCAGTCTAGGTAAGCTCATTTTTAGAGATAAACGAGCACGTCTCCTAGATAATAACTTTGAAATTAATTTGTTGTTAAAAGCAAATAAACATTTATTAGATTCTAATTTTTATGAAAAATAAATGTTTTTTTTTTCAATGCAAATATATATTTTTATATTCGATGTAAATATTCAATTTTGCGATATTTTTTTATATAAATAAATTGTATATTATTTTAAAACTGATTATACTTTGTTTATCCTAATTTTTTTTATATTAAATATATGCATTCAATAAATAAATAATGCGCATATGAATGATGTATAAAGTAAGTAACTAATTACTTTTGAAAATAACTGTAACTAATAACTCGTTACTTTTGTAAAAATGTAACTAGTAACTGTAACTAGTTATGTTTTTGCCAATGTAACTAGTAACTGTAACTAGTTATGTTTCAAAAGTAACTTTTAACATCACTAGTAATTAAATTACACTATAAAAAAATGTTGGATATTTCGCAATTTATTGCCAATTATTGTCGTATATAGCTTTAGGTTAGTAAACAAACATAAATTACTCCATTAATTTTTTTGAGAACATTTCAGAAATAATAAATTCGACGAAACTTGTAATTTGATGAAAGACAGGAATTCCTTAAGATGATTATAATCAAGCCATCTTAGTCTAATAAATTTTCGTCGGTAAAGTGGTATCTTTAAAGTTAGAATAAAGGATAAGAGGAGAACAAATGTTCTTCGAATAATATATATTTTTAAAACGGCTCTTACTTCAGATACTAAGGGTGGAACATTTTAAAATAATAACCAATAATTAAAAATGTAAATTTTATTTATTATAATAAAAATTGTATGAAAAAGAAACATTTATAATTTAATTCAAAAATTTTAGCAATTCACAAAGTTTGCCATTTTATTAAAGGTTAAAAATAGTTTTTTGGCTGTACATGGTTAGCATAGAGAGGTGTTTCTGCCATTAAAGTTATTTTTCCTCCTACATCAAATTTGATGAAGAGAATTTTGAAAATATATTGTACGTAAGGACCAATAGTATTCTTTTAGGAAAATGTTTAAATATAAATATCTTCATTATAATATTTAATTAATCGTCGTCTGAGAATTAGATTATCCCATCTCCACTGAGTTTTACAGGAGAGCAATTTTAAAAATTAAGTTTCTATTGTTTCTAATAGGATGTTGGCTATAATTTGATTTATTTTATAAATATTTTTTGATGTAGATAATAATATAACTATAAAAAATTGATTTATGTTTAATAAAAAAAAATTATCTTGGAAAAGTGGATATGGAATAACCTAATTCTCATGGGACGAAATACTGTTATTTGATGTAATTCATAAATTAGATATATTTGTATTTTTTAAAAAATTTACTTCTCAATAAAGTCTTGTAAGTGAGCCCGAAGTAGTTCGAATTTAAAC